CAGAGAATGCTGGCAATGAAGATGATCAGGCTCAGTCTACACTAAACCTCATTCATTAATTCATTGGTTCACTCATTTATGCATTCATCCATCCCATTTTCATGGATGTCTTGATATGTCAAGACACTGGTATACAGAAAGGAACAAGACAGACCCCAGTTTCTGCCTCCGTGAAGCTTAAATCTAGCAAGAACAAGTATTGTTATTGAACATTAGGGGCACAAAAGTAAAAGGATTAGTACTAATTGATGCCTATAGGCAGCCCAGGTACCCCATGACCTATAGTTTAGCTTTCTGTAAAGGGTCCAAGAAGCACATGCTAGTGTGCATTCTTTGGGAAAGGTCTCTGGGGTCGGGAAATGCAGCTCCCTCCTAAAAATTTGTATTACATATTAGCCTCATAAAGATTCTGAGAAATTCTAGAGTAAATAAGCCTATTTAACTGCATTTAACTTTGTCTTTACACAATTATGTCACTGAAAATATTCCACAGAGCAGCTTGGGAAATTCCACATGTGAAACAGCTTTCTGAGGTAGGTACTATTATCTCATTTTACAGACGAGGAAGCTGAGTCTCAGCCTGGTTCAGAGATATGCCCCACATCCCACGGCTGGGAAAGTGTACCAGCCATTGGAAACGGAGCCTGCCTTCTCAAGCTGGAGCTCTTTTGCTTTGTGTTATGTGGCCTTCCTTCTTAAATGCCTTGTTTGGTTTTATAATTGGTCTTGACAGTTAATTAGCTCAGTGCTCTACTTTGGTCCTTATAAACATGGGTCGATTTCACACACAGAGCCTCCAATGGGGGGCAAAGAAATATCTACCCTTTGCCATCTGTCATGACTGGCTGATTTCTTCTGGGGAGGCTGTAGCAATGCCAGAGCCCTCCTTAAGAAATGATAATGGGAGCGCCCTTATCCTGGCTCTGCCACTTAGTAGCTGTGTGACTTTGGACAAGTTACTTAACCTCCCTGTGCTTCATCCGAATGATCAGGATAGCAACGACCTAAAGTTGTCATGAGGATTCACTGAGACAGCATATATAAAGTGCTCAGCCCAGTTTGGGCAGGAAGCAAACCCTCAGGAAATGGTGGCTGCCATTGGTGTTATCAGGGCAGCCCATGCTGGCTGTATTTCTGACATGGGCCACAATGGGGCATCAAAGATTCAGAGGAGAGTGCGCCAGATGGGACAGAGTCCCTCTCCGATGCAGACGTGTGGCCTTGGTCTGACAGTCTGCATCAGAAAAAAAGGTGCTCAGGGGTTTCCATTTCTCGATAAATTTCCCTGGCTTCTGAGGGTCTCCCACTTTCTCCAGGGTCAAGTCCCTTTGCTCTGTGAGACTTTAATTAGTAGGAATGAGCGGAAGGTGGACACTGCTGCCTGATAGCTAATGATGCGAAGGGAGGATGAAAATAGAAATGCATTTGAAACTCCCTAAAATAGCCTGGCGTGATAGAGAAGGCCATCCTCAGTCAAGGAGCTTGACAGCTCCACTGTAGGAATTCCAAAAATATAAAGAGAAATCAAGTAATTACCTTTTCAAGTGCTGGAAAGAAAAAGCCAGAGAATGAGCTTCCATGGAAACGAGATTCTCTTTAATGCACCAGTCTTTTCCATAGAGGCAAGGGAAGATCAGCCGGTGAACCAGGCCAAGGGCAAAACTTTCCTATTGACAGCTCATTAGGGTTAAAATATGGACATGTGCTTTAAGGCTCTTTACCTAATTAGACAAATAATCTTCCTACTAGCAGAGGTCAAGCAGAAACAGTGTGATGGTTTTGATTTGCCAGCTCAGCAAAGGGAACTCTTTCCCTTGGCTTTTCTTTTAAAGTGATGGGGAGCGGAGCTCAGCACTGCCTACACGCAGACAGGTATCGCCTAAGCCATCAGTTCAAGCCATCCGAGGCTTGGGACTGTCTCCAGCTTACAGCTGTGCCCCTTCAGTCCATGCAGAGACAAAACACCAGACCAGCAGCGCTGGCTGTTGGGCTGATGTGCACCTGCAGGAACGCAGTGTGGCAGAGGACACAGGCCTGGGAAGCAGCAAAGGGAAGTTTGTGCCCACTTACTTCACTCCCTAGGTGCATGACCTTGTCAAGCCTCTTCACCTCTCTGAGCCTCAGTTTCCTCCGTTACAAAATAGGGATGATTTTTATCTTGCATGGCTATTAAGAGAACTAAATGAGACAATGTGTGGTGTGCTTCAAGGGACATCAGGCCGACTTGGGGCCACATCTTGGCTTTGCAGTGTCCTTACTCAAAGGGATGGCACAAGTCACTAAACCTCCCTAAGCCTCAGTTTCCTTGTTGGTAAAACTGGGATAAGAGACCTACATCAGC